CGAGTGTAATCATTATGAATATAACCATTTATATATCCAGTTATTCTTCCATTATAATCACATATGCCTGTGTGGAAAATGCCTACGTTGCTAAAGTAGACAGACCCTCAGATTAGAAACATCTGGAAAAATACAAGTGGGCTTCTTTCTTTAGCATAACAAGACTTGGGGGGGCCCCTTCTCTCTAGGGAGAATTGTATGCGAAAAGGAACCATTCTATGTATGGAAAACGCCTTAAAGTCAAAACTGTATAAAAAGAGAGGCAGAGAAACATTCTGGAGATGTTTTTCTGCAGAGAACTTCTCCGTTTTATTCTCATTGTAATAAAGTGTGTTTCTTCTGGCATCAAAACTCAAGACTGAGTGTGGTTCCTCAGATAAGCAGCAGATTACACTACAAATTGGCACCCCAGATGGGACCTGGAAAAGAGCAGAGGAGTGGACGACCACTTTGGGCTGACTGAGACGAGCAACACAGACACGGTGGCCACTGAATAGGTAAGCAATTTTGCTTATATAATTCGTTTGTGTTGTTTGCCGGTCTGCCCTTGGTGGTAAGGTCACTTAAAATCTGCTCTTCCAGAAATAGAAAAAATATATATATATAAATAAATAAAAAAGGGGTTTTTATGCCAGAAGAAATAACTGAATGCACATATTTGGTTTACTGTTAGGAAGGCCTTGATAGGTGACCTAAATTGAAACTAGATGGTGTAGGTAGAAATGCATTACATGTAATGGTCTGTGTTTATTGTGGTCGGGACCTAAAAAGGACAGCAACAATGAAGCAGATTTAGTAAAGTAAAGCGCGCGAGTCCTACGGATACCGCTTTAAGAAAGAAAAAGGTGTAAGGAGGCTCAAAGGGCAGCACGGGTAGGCAAAAATCCCTGCTGGGCGCTGATTTTTTACTGAGTTGATGGAGATTAATCAGTAAAAGAACGAGAGCAATGCAGGTTACTCGAGGAAGAGTGTAGTGTTTTGTTGTATGAGACTGAAACTGTGTCTGTGTCCGTATGCATGTCTGTATGAGTCATGGTGAATGTATGAGAAAATAAATAAATTCCGTATCGGGTGGGTACGAGCTGCGCACCCCTTCCTGGCAGAGTGTGGACGCAGCTCTTGCCACACCCGACAGGGATGAATGAATGATTAGCCCTGAATAAATAAAGGGAAACAATATGACTGCATTATCCCTAAAAATAAAGGGAAAATAAATGAGTGATGAGCCCTGTGTCTGAATAAAGGGACGAGAAGTGTGAAGGTGTTTAGGAAAATAATATCAATAAAGATTGAATCAATATCTTGTATAGACTTTTGCATGTTTGGTGTCTGTGGGGAAGAGAAGGAGAACATTTTCAGAGATCAGTGCAGTAGAAGTGAGATCAAGGAAGCAAATTAAATAAGTATATGTATATTAAAAATAATATAAGTGCAGAAAAAATAATAAAGAGCAATAAATAAATTATTATTAGAAATGTATACATACTGAGTGATTGTAAAATAAAGTTGAGACTATAAATTCATACAAAAAGAGTAAATGCATCAGACAGAATAAAGACTAATATTAGGAGAAATTGGTTAAAATAGTTAAATTAAAATTGAATTGTAATAATATATGAAAAAGTATGGCAGCCACGCCGGTGGAAATATTAGGATTAAAATATCCACTGTGTAAAAAGTTAATAAACAAGATATCAAACAAATGGAAGAAGAGAACAAAAAATCTGGAGACAAAGTGGCCACAGGAAATGGAAACTCTGATAAAAAACCATAAAACTAAAAGTATCAGTAAAAAACGAGAAAAAAGAGAAGCAAAAAGGGAAAAAGAGAAAGAAGTGATAACCATGTTCAAAAAAGAAGGGGAGGACATATTAAAAAGTATAAAACAAGCCAGGAAGAAACTGAGGGAGGCTGAGAAAGAGACAAAAAGAAAGGGAGAAAAGTTGTTTTCTGAGCCACCCCCCTATTTGCCCCCAGACGGAGAATTACCAATTCTCAAGGGAACAGTTGAAGTAACTGGAGAACTGGAAATGAATGGGCCAGTAGAGTTGGAAGAAAATAAGGAACCAGCTGTGAAAACAAAAAGGCAAGAGAGAAAAGAAAGTGAAGGATATTTACAAATGGATTGTTATAGACAGGCATGCATAGCTTTAGAAAAGATGAAAACAAACCAAGATAGAACTAGATTTGAGGAAGAGTTATAAGATATAGAAGAGAAAATGAAAGAATCAGAAAAAGATACAAGAGGTAAATAGATTGGAAAGAGGCAGAAATAAGTTGTTTGAAAGTACAGAGGAAGTGAATGAAGGAGAGGAGTTACTTGATAGCGGAAAATGGGAACAGGGCAGAGAAAAGGGGCACTCAGATCACTGGCTGCACAACTCCCAATTTTAATCAAGGGTGCGAAGGGACAATAAGTCCCCTGGGCCCCACGGGACCTCGAGAGGCTGGTCACTCGCCTCCCAGAAATTCAGGAGGGGCTGGAAAATGGATTTGAATATTTGAAGAAGAAACTATGGGCAAACTTTTGGCTGTGAGGGACATTAAAGCGTTGCTGGCTAAAATAATAGGAGGGACAAAGATGGATGAAATTCTTCAAACAACTACTCTGGACAGAGCAATGAACTCTCATAATATGGATGGAATTGTTTTTGATGCATTCCGTCCAGCAGTGTGGCAG